GTCATCCTGTTATCTTAGTCTCCTTTTATCTAAAGCATTTCCACAACTTTTTAAAGATTTTAGACATTTAATCTTCTAAGAATGTAATTTCCTGCTTGTATTTAACAGCACAGTCCTAATTTTGGAATTGTTTGCTGGAGATGTCAGATTCAAATGATGCATCCTTCACTGGAATAGTATGGAAGCCATGTGTTCATTTGTAATGGACAATTCTGATGATCTACTCACACTATTGTTGAGTTTCTCTAAATCACTTCTGCTTTTATTTTCCCCATTCAGTGAATAAGCAGTCTGTCAGGGATACTTTAAACTACAAAAATATTATGTTTTTAATCAAAATTGTCTCTTAGATTTAACAGGCATTGATAATTTCTGACTAATCAGTTTTTTTATTATGAAAACTTGCCAGTAGTCAAAAAGGAAGAATTTTTTAAAGTTTATTTCCCTTTTTAGCCCCCTCCATCCACCTTATTTAAGAGTTTGACCATTATATTTAGCTGACCCTGGATCATTAATTGCAGAACTCAATCTAACTACTTCATTCCAGGCCTTGTTTTACTTTGTGCTCAGCCCACGTGAACTCATGAGTCTCTACTACATCGTTTCACCCTGTGTGTTTGGGTACGACTTTCAGAAAGACCAGTCCAGTGGATTTTACACTGTTGGCCTGATCTGACATCTTAGGCCCTCAAGGTTGTCTTTATGGCTGTTCCTGCTTGAAATGTTCATTGATATTTATGACTTTATTCCTCCCTATCATTTCACAGTTACTGTTCACTTAATTCGGCTTCCTGTCTCCTATTTCCTACTTTTTAGGATGTGGTGTTTATTTCTTCTTCTTTTCTTGTTAGTTTTAGCAGCTTACACATGTTTTAAAAATACTAGATTTTTCTATTTATAGCAATCGTAACTCAACATACACTTCTCCATTTTATAAACAGATATGCCCCAGCAAGAAAAATCTAGTTTTGCAATTCCACTAAGATGAGCTCTAAAACTTTGGCCTTGCTCTCTTCAGACTTATAAGCAAATGTATCACAGGCCCTCCCTCCCCAAGGAGGTCTTGATCCGTCCACCTTCCTTAGGTCATTTAAAGCATTCAGGCTCAGTCCATCATTTGGTTTTCTAACTATACATACAATGTATGGCACACTATTACGTTCTTTTTTCTTCATCGCTGTCTCTGGAGAAGTTTGTTCTGCTTTGATTGTACCTGGTTAGTTATAATTATACTTGATTTTATCACATGCTTAGTGAAAGCTGGAGATAACTGTAAGAAATACTGGTAAATAAAGTAAAAATATGGAAACGAGGAAATCACAGGAGGAGAGCTAGAAAAATCAGAAAAGTGAGGCCAAGAAACCAAATGTTCAAGTAATAAGATATTCAAAGAAGAAAAGTAATTCATAGGAAAGAAATAATTAATTGGAAGGTTTTTTTTCTAATTTAAAATGGAACAAAATATTGAAAAGATTCAAAATATCTCACTGGGATTAGTGGAAATCTACATATACACACACACATCGTGGCAAAACATGTTAGATGTTATACAAAAGGGGGGTGGGGACAACTGGTCTGTACACTACTGAGAATACAGACTAGTATCAGAATTCTCATTAGTAACTTTGAAAATAGAGGCAAAACCCCATTACATAGCAAGGATAAAATTCATCTCTTTAAAAAAAGATTTTTTGATCACCCTAAATGCCTATTTTAGACTCTACCCAAATTACATAAGCATGGTTGGTGGCGCACGTGGGCATGCATCCTTCTTAACTATGTAAATATCATCAAGAATAAAATAAATTTCTTTTAAAAATAATGCACTCTACCTCCTTATTTTCCCATATATATTTTTTCATATATATATTTTTCATATATATTTACATATATGTATCTACATTAATATATATGTGTGTGTGTGTATTCCACATGGCATTTTCTTGTATTCCTTATTACTTGATGGTCCATGGGTAAGTCCTCATCAGGGGACTATCAGAGTGAACTGACCTGTACAATCAATACCTTGCTTCCTTGAAGAGAAATTATTTGCTCTCCACTTGCTTTGTTTTTTTGCTGCCAGATGACCACCAATGTGTTACTGTGTATCAGCTTTTACCCTCCCAGCTGATTCTCCCTGGAAAATAATGTGAGCCACAAATGACACTGGAAATTTTCTCAATAAATAAAAGAAACGAAAGAAACTGAGCGTAACAGCATTCTATTAGGGGCAGAGGTTTGCTGGAGAAGAGGCCACTTCAGCTGTCCACATCCCATTTCAGAGTGAGTGAGTTTCAGTCCCAACTCTGCTATCAGCTCCATCTTCCTGCCAACGCACACCCACAACAGCTGATGGTGCAAGAATGTGGATGCCTAAAATCCACGTGAGAGACCCGGATTGAGCTCCAGGTGATGGGCGTTAAGGAGTGAGGCAGCAAGTGGAAGAACTTCCTCTGTCTCTCATATTTAAAAAAAAAAAAAAAGCAGTAGCAAATTTTAACAACAACATTCAATATGTTGTTGTAATATGTAATCAATAGAAAATTACTAATTTTGAAACCTATTTTTATTTTTAATTAGCATAGTAACTGTACATATTAACAGACAGTAGGATATTTCAGTACATGTATAAAACATGATCAGATCAGGGGAACTGGCCTATTGCCTCTGAGAGTTATATTTTTGTATTGGGAACCTTAAAAATCCTTTCCACTGGCTGCATGAAAGCATTCACCAATTGTGATCAAGAATGGTTACCCTACCATATTCTAGAACATTACGAAGTTTTCTCCTATCAACCTGTGCCTGTTAATATCCTTTCCTCACCTCATCTCCCCACACCTATGCAGCTACTGAAATACCAGGCAATTAGTACAAAATAATTAATGAGATATTTTACATTCTATTTTTATACTAAGTCTTTGAGATCTGATGCATGGTTTGTACTTCCAGCATATTCCAGCTAGGACTAGCTGTGCTTCAAGAGTTTAGTAGCACTATGTGAGCTGTGGCTGCTCTACTGCACAATCCCAGTATTATGTCAGAGCAACCAAAGAGAAGGAAGGCGGGTCCATGGGGTAGACCACTCCCTCCCTAGCAGCACTCCTGGGCTACCTGGTTACTGCAGTCAGGTAACAAATTTCACCTTAGTGAAATCAATGCTGGTTTTGGTTTTCAGGTATGTTTTTTTTTTTTATTACAAAAACTTTGTATCAACTAGGACATATACACTTAAACTCATAATAATACTGATACAGCACCTCTTTGGAAATTTCTGCATTCAAGGCAGCAAAGAAGCTTTATGCAGTATTTAAAAATTAAAATACCAGAAGTAAAGAAGCTGTGGTAATAAAAAAAAAACTAGGGAAGGAGCTGGGGGTTCACACTTTCCAAGACAGCGGGAGGTCCTGTTCTCAGGTATTTTTTTCATTTTTCAGTTCTTTATTGGCCTCACGCTTTCATCATCTTTCTATCACTTTTTTAAAAATTAGCATCCTCACAGTTCTTTGTTTTGTTTTGTCTCTTCAAGATTAATTTGTTTCATTATTTGAATGGTAGAGTAACAAATATAGGAATCAATATCAAGAAAGGACCTGGCACAATGGCACAATTGGTTAATCTTCTACTTGTAAGTGCTAGGATTCCAAATGGGCATCATTTTGTGTTGTGGTTGCTCCACTTTCCATCCAGCTCCCTGCTTATGACCTGGGAAAGCATTGGAGTACAGCCCAAAGGCTTGGAATTCCTCACCCACATGGGAGACCCGGAGAAAGCTTCTAGCTTTGGATTGGCTCAGTTCAAGCTGTAGTAGCCATTTCAGGAGTGAATCAGCAAACTGAAGAATTCTCTCTCTCCTTCTCTCTAAATCTGCATTCCCAATAAAAATGAATATTAAGATAAAAAGAAAGAAAGAAAATAGCAAGAGAGAGACAGAGAGATCAAGATCATTCATCTACTGGTTCATTCCCCCAAACGCTCACCAGAGATGGGATTGGGCCAAGCTGAATCCAGCACTCTGGAACTCCATAGATGTCCCATATGGGTGGCAGGAACCCAAGTACCTGGTGCATTACCAGGAAGGTTGATTGGAAATAGAGGTGGGACTGCATCCCAGGCAGTCCTGTATGGGATATGGTTATCCTAAGCAGTGACTTAACCTGCTGTGCCACAATGTCTCCCCCTGGAGTTAACATGTTTGCTTGGAACCTTTCAGACAAGAGTTGAACTGACACACCGAAATGGGATAAGCAACAAAGAAAGGAAAGTGAAGTACAGATATAGTTAAGTTAGGAAGAGGTCAAAGGTTTCAATTTAGGGGAAATGTAACTGTCAAATAAAAACAGATTGTTGACGTCCCAGAAGCATTTGGAATTTTTACATGCTCGTTACTGGACTAGATAGTAAAAATTTAAAGATGAGTATTTCATATCCCTATCCTGAAAGACTTTTATTATCTAGTAGAGGAAACTGAAAAAAAAAAGATAGCTACATTACAATGTCATAAACGTTTTTTCATAGAGTTGAGTGATGTCCTCCTAAAATTGCTGTATAACTGGAACTTCATTTGGAAATAGAGTCTTGGTAGATGTAACCAGATAGCATGAGGTCATGCTTCATTGAGTTAGGCCTTAAATGCCCTGGTGTCCTTAAAGGGAGAAGCAGCATATGGAGGCACATCAAGAAGATGCAGCAGAGGAGGGGTGATGTGCTGACCAGCCAGCTGGCATCATGATGCCCCAGAACACCAGGAGCTGGAAAAGGCAATGAAATACTGTTTCCTAGAACTCTCAGAATAGCTGATTTGGGACTTCAAGCTTCCAGTACATGAGATCAACAATAAACGTCTTTTCATAATCACATGTAGGCATTATTAGTCCTAATCCCCTGGATCATACCTGGAATTGGACTCCCTTCGATTTTACGGTATTCTTTGTCACAAAGAGAAATTGCCATTGTTGCAATCACGGCCTTTGTGAAATAGCAAAGGACGGATACCTTACCGATCTGTTCACAGATATTTCTGTCTCCCTTTCCTTGATGGGCAGGCTGACATCATCAGAACTCTGATCCAATCATTTCTAAGCTGAATGTGGTTTTCATTTCTTTGTCTCCAGGACTGTTAGTCTCACCCTGAAAAGAAAAGAACCTGCTTCCAATTAGAATTATTCATAATACGATGAATACTGATTTCAAGTTGTTTAAAGTTATAATTATTCGGTTTGAATCTGTCCTCTACAGGGTCATGAGTTGGAAACATAATCCTCAGGTTCATTTGTTAATGGTGCTTGGTGACAGAGACTTGAGAATTAAATCAGAATTAAATGAGGTCAAGAGGGAGGCCTCATGATGACCCGGATGGCCTTCTAAGAACAGAGACTTGAGTTCTCACACTTGCTCTGTCTCATGCCTGACGCCTCCACCAGGCAATGACACAAGAAGGCCCTCTCAGAGGCTGTACGTTGATGTCGCTCTTCCTGGACTCTGCAACTGTGAAAATCATTTTCTCTCCTTTATGAATTACTGAGAGTCTGATGTCTTGTTATAACAACACAGACATACTTTATTACTGGCTTCTTTCTCCATACAAAATATTTTAACATGCCTAGATCATGGTCTCTCCCTTGAGTCACAATCATTTTCCACTTTCAGGCCTTTCCCTAGGAGAGGAAGAGTATGTTCTATGAAAGAAGGTACTGGAGTTCATCCATCTCTTAGATGCTCTCCCAGATGTCTTCGACAGGAATGTGCCTTTTCATTTGTAGCCTAAAACTCTCACCAAGAAAATCCTGATCGTTTTTGAAGAAAAAAACAATTTGTTGCATGCTTTGTGCCTTAGCTGGCACTAAAAGCATCTTTCATGGTTTCCTATGTATCTTTATGCTCTCTGGTCAGTGGTACATTCAGTTCACAATGGAACATCTGAAGGAGGACGAAGCCTGCTTTAGAGAGCCAAGCGTTGGTTCTGATTTTGTCCTAGAGCTCTCTGCCTGAGGCTCCGATGGCCTATGATGTCTCTGTACCCTCACTCAGCCAGTCCCACCTCTCTCTGCTTCCAAGAAATGTATCACCTTACAGAAGTATCCGTGCCTCAACTTCCTACCTACAAAATAGGGGCAGGTACCAGATGACCCAAAGCTTTAGCCAAGTATTCTAAGGTCGTTTTCTATGGACACTTGGGATTCTGAGCTTAGAGGCTGGGAAAAGTTCTATAACCCGTGAAGTCTTGTGGAAGTAACATCAGTGACACCAAACCAGAGACCACTGTCTCCTTCCTAACACTTGCCATCACTAACTAGCCCAGCAGTAGCAAGGATTTGTTCATTTCAGCATATCTTGAAATTGTACAGACCCTAAATAACCTAGTTTAGACTACGCCAGATTAATGGAGCACACATTAGGATTGAGGAATGTCCTTTTTAACTTTTGGGTTTTCCTCTCTCTCTGGAAACTAACCAGGCAGCAAGAAATCAGTCACTTACCAGGAATCCAATAAGCGTTTATTCAATAAATGAATGATAGACTAATTTGACATAGTTAGTATCACTCATTCTTTTGCAATGAGTTTTATGCCATTGGATCAAAAGAATCTTTAGATATTTTTCACAATTTTCTGACATATGTAGCATCTCAGTTATTTGTGCACGTGAATTCCTGAGAGATTTTTCGCTCCAGTAGAAGATTCCCTCTGCCTCATCTAAATTCATCGCGATGACAGATGTTGGATCTCTCATGATTTTATGTTTACAAGATGTATATTGAATTCATCTAAACCTGTTCTTCCTTGTTACTCTCCTGGTCACCACTGCAGTGCAATGTAAATATGAAATAAATACACAATCTGAATGCACACAGAGGACGGGATATGATCCTATCGGAGGCACAGGACTTACACTTTGGACGACCCTCTCTGTGCCGTGCACTGTGCACACAGCAACTTAACTACCACGGAAAACCTCAGCATGACCCAGTACTAATTTATCTACTTTTCTGCTTGGAAGAGATTTCATACATGCCCGAGGTCACACAGCTGGCAATAGAATTGAGATTTAAACCAAGGTTGGTAAAATTTCAAAGCTCGAACTGCTTTCATTGTCTGGAAGAAAAAGCAACATTGGACAAAAGGCCATCTTGATTGAACAGAGCTGATTAAAGGAGTGGAAGAAATCTAAAGGACTGTAGACATAAAAGATCTGAAAGAGGCCAATTGCAGAAGACAAACAGGTCACATGTAAAAGGAGATGTGGTTTCAGCGAAAGAGAAGACAAATGCGAGTCCAATAAGGCAGGTGCAGCAGGCAACCGTGCGGCGGAGAGCGGGCTGACACAGCTGCATTGCTTCCACATGGCTGAGGGAACTTTATAAATGTTCATTTTACGTATTTATTTATATGGAGGAGTTGGTGAAGAAAGTCAGGAAAGAAAGAGAAAAATAGAGAAGAGAAAGAAGAAGAGAGACAAAAAGAGAGAGAAGAGACAGAAACAAATTTCACCTGCCGGTTCACTTCACAAATATTGCTAGCAGCCAGGACGAGGCCAGGCTGACCGGGCGAGCAGAGCCAGGAGTTTAGAACTCAATTTTTGTCTCCCGCGTAGACGGCAGGCACCCAGGTACTTGGGCCGCCACCTGCTGCCTTCAGGACTGTACGTTACCAGGAGGCTAGACCAGGCAGTGGAGCTAGGACTCAAACCCAAACTCTGATAACAGGACGTTGGCATTCCAAGGCTGTATCTTGACTACTCAGCCAAACATTTACCCTAGATCACAAATTTTATAAGAAACCAAATGCAAGTTTCCTATGTTTGTCCACCTGACAATCTTTTTGTGAATTACCAAACACATTATCTCTCTTTTCTGATCTTATCTGTGTTTGATTTACTTCATGAGATGTAAAGGACACAATGTTTGGGAATGCAGAAGAGCCTGTTATCAACAAGCCCACAAGCTACCATTTCATCCTGGACAAGTCGCTTAGCTTCTAAGTATTGGAGTTTCCTTTTCTAAAACATGCTTTCTCTCAATCTGATAGGATTTTGTGCATGTAGGGAACTCAAGTGACACATGTATGTGAGTATTCATTACACCACAGAAAAAGAAAACACCATGACTGTGTCCATATATGTACCATGAGGCAATACCCGTTCTTCTAAGACTGGAAGTGGGAGAAGAGGAGGGGTTCAGGATGCAGAGAACACCCTGGAGATAATTCGGGTTTGCGTTCAGTCTGGCTCCTGTGGGACTGTAATGATTTTAGAGATGTTTGATTAATGTCCTTTCTACTCAGCAGGGAAATAAATCATTCGATGAGTCTAGATTGCATTTAACACCTCTACAATAAAAATGAGGGATTTCACAGGAAGCGATGATTTACCTATGACTGGAGCCATAGCAATTCTGACCAAGTTACCGGAGCTGACAGCAAAAGAAATACAGCACCCAGCAGTGGGTTATTCCAAGTGAAAACACCCATGCTGTTTCCAGGAACATTTGGCAAGCAATTTGTGTGCAGAGGAAATAGTAGCAAAGACAAAACTGAACAAATGACAACTTGGCCATCAATGGGTACCCTGTGGAGCCCCCAAAGCTAAGAGAAAGATTTCTTGCTGTGCTTTTTGGAGTCTTTCCCTTGTGACCATATGAAGATAAAGAAGATCAGGATCATGTGACCAGACCAGGGAGTTTATGAGCCAATATAAATAAAGTACTAAGAGACTGAATGCTTCTACTTACCATCTACCTGCCTCCTTTCAACTTGTTTCAGTTGTAATGAAATCTGGAACACTAGGAATTGTAAGCATATTTTCTTGGATTTGAAGTTCAAAACATGATCAGCATCCCACATCAGGATACATTGAAGATATTTTGTCAGATGTCCTCCATAAAGTTTATGTTCTTTAAGAAGATCTCATAGCCTCCCTCCTGTTTGTAAATAAAAATACAAGATTTGGTACAGGTACTAAAAAGCTTTCAACTTACAGAGATTACCAGGACATGCCAAGGTACATTTGAAAATCTTGGTCATTAAGAAATACTTTGTTTGAAGCCAGAAGAGAATGCCTTCCTTTACTCTCTCATTTCAAACAATGTGTAAATTTCCTTCCTTTAAATATAGATGTGATAGAGTCCTTTGCCTTTGAAAAATATAAATTTGGCACTGGTCATGTGGCAATGCACACACAGCTGCTTGCATTGCCAGTATCCCACAATCCCACGTCACAGCTCTGCTTCATTTCTGATCCAGCTTCCTGTTAGTAACCTGGAAAAGCAATACAAGATGGGCTGAGGGGCTTACATCTTTGACATCTGAGGAAGACCCAAATGGGGTTCCTGGTTTCAGATTGACTCAGCCCTGGTTATGGCTGCCCTTTGGGGAGTGAACCAGGAGATTAAAGATTCTCTCTCTCAGCCACTATCTTTTCAATTAAATTTTAAAAAGGAAGTTTTTAGGACCCACCACAATGTCTCAATTGGCTAATCCTCCCCTCACAAGAGCTGGGATCCCATATAGGCCCTGGTTCTACTCCTCGCTGTTCCACCTCCCATCCAGCTCCCTGCTTGTGGCCTGCAACAGCAGTAGAAGATGGCCCAAAGCCTTGGGATCCTGCACCCACATGGGAGACCTGGAAGAAACTCCAGGCTCCTGGCTTTGGATTGGCTCAACTCTGGCTGTTGCAGCCACTTGAGGAGTGAACCAGTGAATGGAAGATAAGGAAGATTCTTTCTATCTCCTTCTTTGTAAATCTGCCTTTCCAATACAATTTTTTTTTTCTTAAAAGAAAGTCTTTTTAAAATTCATAACATAAACTGTGTCAAACATATTTTTCCTTAGAATGAGGAAATTGCTCTTTTGGAGCCAGTGCTGTGACTCAGCAAATTAAAGCACCTGCAGTGCTGGCAAACCATAGCACCAGTTGGTGTCTTGACCGCTCCACTTCTGATCCAGTTGGCTGCTAATGTGCCTGGGAAAGCAGTAGAATACAGCCCCAGTCTCCAGCACCCCACACTTTGTTGTCATTTGGGAAGTAAGTCAGAGGATGGAAGATCTCTTTCTGTCTCCACCTTGCCCCCACCCCCACCATAGAACTCTTGGCTTTCAAATAAATAACCTTTAAAAAAATGTTCTTCTGTTGAATATAAATGAAGTAAACGTTAAAGCCATTTTGCCTTATATTAGCCACTATTACTGCACTTAATACTTTCAAAATCACGATTGCTGTTTCTCTTTATTTTCTTAAGATGCATTTTGTTGGGGCTAGATCAGTGACATAGCAAGCTAATCCACCTGCAGCTCTGGCATCCCATATGGGCACCACTTTGTGTCCTAGTTGCTCCATTTCTGATACAGGTGTCTGCTTATGTTCTGGGAAAGCAGCGGAGGATGGTTCAAGTCCTTGAGCCCCTATAGCCACATGAGATACCAGGAGCGAGCTCCTGGCTTCCAGCTTCGGACCAGCTCTGCTCTGGCTGTAACAGTCATCTGGGATTGAACCAGCAGATTGAAGATCTTTCTGTCTCTCTTTCTCTCTCCATAAAATCTGCCTTCATAAATAAGTAAGTAAATAAATAAATAGGGCCTGCGGTAATGGCCTAGTGGCTAAAGTCCTCACCTTGAACAGGCCAGGATCCCATATGGGCACCAGTTCTAATCCCGGCAGCTCCACTTCCCATCCAACTTCCTGCTTGTGGCCTGGAAAAAAGTTGAGGATGGCTCAAAGTCTTGGCACCCTGCACCCGTGTGGGAGACCTAGAAGAAGTTCCTGGCTCCTGGCTTCGGATCAGTGCAGCACCAGCCGTTGAGCTCACTTGGGGAGTGAATCATCAGATGGGAGATCTTCCTCTCTGCCTCTCCTCCTCTCGGTATATCTGATTTTGTAATAAAAATAAAATAAATCTTAAAAAAAATAATCTTTCTTAAAAAGAGATGTATTTTGTTTATTTGAAAGGCAGACTGACAGAAAAAGAAAGAGCTCTTTCATCCTCTGGTTCACTCCCCAAATGGGCCGGGCCAGGCCAAAGCTTGGAGTCCATACTCTATCCAGCTCTCCCATGAGAGTTCAGGGCCCAAGGACTTGGGCCATCTTCTGCTGCTTCCCTGGGTGCATTTGCAGGGAACTGCATTGGAAGCAGAGTAGGCAGGACACTAACCAGCATTCTCTGATAAGGGGTGGGGACAGCAGAGGCAGACACTTGCCACTCACCAACCCTGTGCTATAAGCACAGGCCTCCCTCTGTTTTCAAAAACATCTCTAGGGCCCCAGAGAACATTTAATCGTGTGGTTAATTAACCTTCTGAGCACTACTTTAAACTTGGCTGTAGTTTGCTACATCATATTTTACAAAGATCCTTCTGCTCCTGTATTGTGAAAAAAGTGTCCTTCCTACTCTCCCAATTCCGCACCTCACATCACAATTAAACCAGTCTGCTTTGAGATCAAGGAGTGTGTTTCTCTTATGCACAGCTGCATCCTCAGTCCCTTCCACATTCTGGATACTCAACATGCAGTCGTGGGGGGGAGTGACTAACCGAAGGCAGGAGCCTCTTTCTGACGTTCTGTGTAGAATGAAGCACAAGGAACAGGTGTAAAGAGAAATCCAGTAACATTCCCAGCAGCCACAAGAGAGCAATCCAATTTCAGGCTCACCTTGGAGAATCCCCTCTTCATTCATACCAAGCAATGAGAAGCTCCTAGGAATGAATGCTTGAGGCAATATCAAAAAACCTAAAGTTTTCTGTTAATGAGAAAGTGAAACTAAAAATTTAGGGAATCAGCTAGGGTGTCGCCTTGTGGTTAAGAGACACGGAAGCTAGTTACCCAATCTGTGTCAAAATTCTCCCGTCATTTACTAAGTGTGTGATGTGGGCAAACTGCTTCATTTTGATGTGCTCCAGCTTCGTCACTTACAGATGGGGATACCAGCTGCTCAGGGTATCGCGAGACCAGATGAATGAAGATACGGCCAGTGCTTGAAGCACCGTGGTCCTGCCCCTAACAAGCATTGTGTAGGCCCTCCAACGCTTTACCCACGTCCCTGAAGAAGCCACGAACAGGCCTCGAGGACAAGATCACCTCTGTGCTCTGTCCGTAACCAGTTTTGTGAGCTACAGCTGGCATCTCTAGGTTTCTGTCTCGGCGTCTGAAACTGGGATCTGGACCTCCACCTCTGGCCTTCTAAGATGGAATTGTACAGAACGGCTGCCCGAAGTAAATCATACGGTGCACATATAAAGACCACATTAACGCAAAGCAAATGCAATTTCAGTTTCTAGTGGTTAACAGAGGATAATGCACAACTATATCCACTATTGCATGTATGTGAATCCTGATTTCTTAAGCTTGTAAGTCTCAATCGCACTGCCAGTGTAAAATATATAACAGCAACAATAAGGCAACTCCAGAATTGCTTTAGTAAGATGTCTTGTTTCCTTTTCTTTCTCTCTTTTCTTTTTCCACCTCTTTCCTCTAAAACTTTCCTTGCTGTTGTCAAAGAGGCGTTGGTATGAATTTCTAGGTCCGGAAGCATCTTTCTCATTCTTGAAGACCCTGTAACTAACCATATGCCCATCCTTTTTAAAAATAGGATTTTTTCTTTTTTTTTTTTTTCTTTTTTTCCAGGAATAAATTTGGCTGATGGATATTCTTGCCTCAAAGGGGAATTGTTTAGTCAGTATTTGGTCACTGTGAAGAAATGGCTGAGTGACAAAGCCTATCAAGTAAAGAGGTTAACTGGGGCTCATGGCTCTGGGAGTTCACAATCCAAGATCAGCTGCCCCCACTGATTTGGTCTTGCCACCCTGATAACCTAATTCCCTTTAATGCCTTCCAAAATGTTCCACACCTAAACAGCAGAAGATTAAATTTCCACCCTTTTAACACAAGCTTAATTGCTTGCTCGAGCTCAGAGCCTAATATTCAAATCACAGCAACAAGTATAATCAACCCTCAGTAATGCTGAGGAACTATGCAACCATGAACGTCTGTAGGGAAAAATATAAAGTTCACTCACCACAGTTCATTTATTCATTATGTGGGTTTTCTCTACTTTCTATTCACTTATATGTAACTACAGACCAAAGTCAACATAATTAGAGCATAGATATTTGCCTTAAAATATAATAGACTTTTGAAAACATACTATCATAGAATTTTAGAACTGGATACAGTCTTAGAGGTTATTCAGGCCAAATTTAGTGACTTAGAGTTAGATGAAGTAGGAAGGTCACTTGATCTCTAGTATTCTTTTTTCTTTTTTAATTATTGGTTTGAAAGGTAGAGTTACTCAGAGAGGGGGAAGGCACACAAGAAAGAGAACTTTTCCATCCACTGATTCACTCTCCAAATGGATACAACTGGTAGGGCTGAGCAAGGTCAAAGCCAGGAACATGAAACTTCTTCCCTGACACATGCGCGGAGCCAAGCACCTGTGTCATCTTCCACTGCTTTCAGGGTGCATTAGCAGGGTGTTGGACTGGGAGCAGACCAGCCAGGGCTTGAGCTGGTAGTGCCCATATGGGATGCTGGCAACACAGGAAGTCCCTTTAACTGTTACACCACAATGCTAGCCTCTGTGGTACTCTTCCCAGAATCCTATAATCTACGTCTAATTATAAGAGACACCAATGAAACAAACCCAAGGTGGGGAAGCATTCTATGGGATACCTGGCAGGTGCTTTCAAGGCTGAGGTAACGAAAAACAAGGAAGGACTGAGAAGGGATCAGAAGAGACTGGGGAGACGTGAACAAATCAGTGCAGTGTTCTTTGGATCCTGAATGGGATCCTGCAGCAGAAAGAAGACATGAATTTAAAAAAAAAAAACCCACTGGGGTATCCAAGTAAGACTGCAGTTGAATTAATAATATTATGTTTTTTTTTTTTCAGTTTGAAAAAATGTACCACTGCACTGTAAGGAACTAACAAACAGTTGGTAGAGACCGCACATAGGACTTATAGAATATTCTGCATTCCTTTTGTAACTTTTCTATAACTCTAAAATTTTCCCAAAATATTTATTGAAAAATATTTAGACAAGTTTAATAGTTACCTACAATTCCCAATAATAACATCTGGATTGCTTCAGAGGTCAAGCATGTTAGTAAATATATAACTGCCAATGGATTATCTACTTTTTTAAAAAAGATTTATTTATTTTTATTGGAAAGACAGATTTACAGACAGAAGATGCAGAGAGAAAGATCCTCCCCCAACTGGTTCACTTCCTGAGTGGCTGCAACAGCCAGAGCTGAGCTGATCTGAAGGCAGGAGCCAGGAGCTGCTTTAGCATTTCCCATGTAAGCGCAGGATCCTAAAGCTTTGGGCCATCCTCAACTGCTTTCTCAGGCCACAAACAAGGATCTGAATGGGAAGTGGGGCAACCTGGAGTAGAACTGACAAGGCAAGGATTAGCCACTGGCCATTGCACTGAGCCCTCCACTTTTTTAAAGGGTTTTTTTAACATACACATTTCTTCATGAGTATTCATTTTCATTATTCTAAACAGAATTTTGCCAACAGCAGAACAGACTTTTATAAATAACTTTCTAAAATTGAATGGAATGTAGACTTTTCCAAAAGATCTGTTTAGAAAGATAAACTATTTTGTGCTGAAACACTAGATAGGGAAGAGAAGCCAATGACAGAATTTGTCAAATTATTTCTTTTTCCAGTTAAGTGAATTAAATGTGAGCTTTGGAAAGATTTTTGTGTCATTATAAAAGTTTCTTATAATTCCCAGAGGATCTTCTTCTTTTTAAACTGTGAGATTAAGGCCATCACTTTTCTTAAGGTTTGCTAAAAGAAGAATGGGAAGATATATATTAGCTCGTTCCCTAATTTAAACATAGTCACATAATATTTACGATTGTCTGTTACTTTTACTTTGTGATAGTATACATTTAGCAGCAGTTAAATTGGTAAATTTATACTTGTTTTACTCATCCCAAAGGATGACAGAAAATTACATATGATGGGAAGGCAACTTACACAGATTTGCTTGATTCACAATCAGATTTTAAGGGAAAATCAACCTTGCACATATTTAACTTGACCTCATTTTGTCATATTTATAAAGCAGGTAAGGAATGAGTCTCTGGGTTGGTGGTAGAAACATGAGAGCATGTCACACAGTGTTTGCTGTCCTGCAGCGACGGACTTGGTGCATGGAGCCTATAATAACACACGTGGACCACCATGTTGGTCAGACAGCCAAAGCTGATTCGTGGCATCAGGCTTTTCTAGACTGAGGCTCACCCAGGATAAGGGAGGCACCTTAGAATCACTTGGAGGGGTGACATAACTCAGGCTGCATCCCCAAAGCAAGCCATCGCAACCTGAGGGTGGGACCCTAGATCCCAGGTGATCCAGCCCACAGGGGGGACAATGGCGGCTAATCCTGAGGCTAAAACTCAGGCATTCCTGACGAGCAGGTTGCTTCTCCTGGAATCATCTAGAACCATGACTCGGAGTGCTCCTTGCTGCACTGTAACACGGCACTCTCCTTTCTTTTCCAAGCTCTTCCTCCTTTTCCCTCCCAAGCCCTTGGGAATGACCCTGCCTGTCTCCTGCTCCCACTGTCACTTTTTATTCTTTGAAGAATTTAATCCCCTGAGCTAGTTCTCTCTTTCCCTTCCTCTCCCTCTCTCTCTCCAACTGCCACCAAGCCATGCCATCAAAGTTGTTGCTAGAGTCCGTTATGCCTTTTGTGTCCAACAAACATAAATTCAATCTTCCATTAGAAAATGAAAACAAAAATCTCCCATTGACATCTGTCCTTCACAGGCAGGTGTGGGGAGTGGGGGAACACGGGGCTCTTGGGTATCCTTTCCCACTGCGTCTGTGTTTACTATTTATTTTGTGCTTGCTGGGTTTGTTCATCCTGGAAGACTTCCCACCTTCAGGGCTTGCCTTTCCATCCCCCAGCCTCCCTAGGGCTCCCCTCTTCTTTATTTTTCTCTATAACATTCATCACCAGAAAGTGTACTATACATTTCCACTGTTTAATTATTCATTGTCTGTCACCAACACTGAACTGTTTGTTTTGTAAACTGTTATGCACAATGTGTAAAATGCTGGCCACACTATAGACAGTCAGCCATCCTTATCCACAGAGTCTGCATTCCTGGGTTCAACCAACTGTGGATTGAAAAAGAAAAAAAAATATGGAATTTGGGGGGAAAAAACTGTCTGTATTGAACACGAACAGACTTTTTGTCTTGTTCTAATTTTCTTGACAGTGCAGTACCACAACTGTTTACCTAGCATCTATGTTGCATCATGTGTTACAAATCCTGCATATACGATTTGAAATCTGTAAGGAGATGTGCACAGGTTCTGTACAAATATGACACATTTTTATATGAAGGACTTGAAGATCTGTGGATTTTGGTGTTCCCAGGAGTCCAGAATCCAACACACAAGAGGTATCACGAGGCAACTGTACCCAAAGCTCTCTACTGAATTCATTTATGAAGACCTATGAGATAGGTCCTGTGTTGATTCTGATTGTACAGAAACTGGATGCTGAAGCACAGAGGAACCTGTCCAAGTGTCATTGGCTAGGAAGTGGCAGATCCAGACACATGAACCAGAGAGTGGGCAATTACACACCCGCTACCCTACACTGCTTTCCTCATGTGTTACATAGAAGACCTGCCTCCTAACGATACAAAAAGATCAAATTCTGAGGTAGATAAAAAACTGAGAACATTATATAGTTGAGCTGCTTCTCTGGGCATT